TAACTTGTTGAACACATCCAATTACTCTGGTAGGACTTGGCCTTCACTCATATTGAATGAATACAAAGCTTGCTTCAAGTAGAGGCGGTTGACCAACGATTCAGTCATGTACAAACTTTGGAGTTTCTCCGATAGAATCGAAGTTGTCGTCTCCTTCATAATATTTTGAAGAACCTTATCACCAAGGCTCAATAAGATGGCGTTGTGGGCTTTCTCTACCATAACCTTTTTTCTTTATCCTTTAATGCAGTGTCCATGGCTGTGACTCCCTTCAACGCTTCTAAAAAACCCTGTTGAACCAAAATCGTTCACTCCGGTGAACTTTTCAATCTCATACTTTGTTGACGACATCTTCTCCACGCTCATCGCACCAATTTATTACGAAAAACAATGTCGGAATGACAAAGTATAAACAAGTTATTTGACGGCAAGAAACCCACAAGGGTATAAAAGAAGAAAACAATAAGATTGGTTATAAATTGTTATTTTTTAATTTCTCTTTGAAATAAGATTACAAGTGTTATAGAATAACAAATAATCTTTCTCACCCTAATTAAGATTTTGAAGTGTGCAATGATAAAAGACTAGTATGTTATTTATAAGAAAACTAGCACACTAAACTAATGGGATTTTACACACAAATCTATTACACGCTAACTTAAGGAACACACTAACTTAAACAATTGGGCATAAAAAGCAGTCTTAATTCAACATACTAACAATCCTAGCATTTCGACTACTGCATACTTGAATATACTTCAACTACAGTATTGCAGGTCTTCAAACCCAGCATGTGAACCAACTTCGAACTCATGCTTAGATATTATCGAATTGTCGAATAATAAGATACCCTTCGACCATACTAGAGTTTGATCTAATATCTCACAATCTCAAATTTGGAAAACATAAAAAAATGGGAGACTAAAATTGCATTGTAGTCAATATCATTTTATTTTGATGTTCTGTCTAAATTTGATTTGTGTATGTGTAATTTGATTTATCATGTATTTGTAATTCATTTATAATTTACTTGTAACTTAATCACTTAATTTGTTTAAGCATGTACCTTTAAATACCCCTACATTAAATCTACTGGATTTAGACCCCATGATAATATGTTTGTTAGCCTTTAGAATTAGATATAAGTCAAAATATCGAGTGTATATTGAATCATAAGTTATAATACTTAAATAAAAAATTTTATGAAGCTTGATTCGAACCAGACATGTTATGATTCAAATCAAATTGTTGCTTGGAAGTTTAGAATTTGTCCTTACCTCCTTGATTTGAATCACGGAAGTGTGTGATTCGAATCACAATTCTTCTCGAATCACATGTTATTTGAATCACAAACACATAACATTATCCAAATAAAAAAAATAGTAAATTATCCATTTTACTACCTTTTATTGAAATTATTATTTCATTGATTCAAATCATAACCTCAGGGTTTGACTTGAATCATCTTGTGTTTTACCTCAACTTTTTGTGCCTTATCTCTAACACCTATTTAGATCTTTTCCTTGTATTTTGATAGATATTATTCATAAGTTGTTGAACCATATAGGGTTATAAAGCAAGTTAATTGGTCAATTCAATTGGATTGATTAAACCTATGATATTCACAAAGAATTAATTCACTATTTGTCAAGAATCTTGAGAGAAACCATGAGAGTTTCTTCATTCACAAACACATTATCTCCTTGATTCAACCTTGTGAAAAATTCTTAGGATGTTGAGATCACGAGAGTTTTGTAATTATGTTGTGTTAGATACTTTATATACTACTCATCATCTTCATTCTTATACCAATAATCCATTGTCGTGGTGTTGAACTCCAAGGATTGAGTGTGAGAGGTAGATTCAAGGCACATTAAGGAATCTAATGTTTTTTGCGAGAAGTTTTGTTGTGTGTGTTAGGAGAAATGACCACTTCTTGTTCAAAGTGTTGATTGGTGTTCATCAGGAAAGGGAAGATTTTTCCTAATACTCCTTGAAAGACTCTGGCGGATCCAAGTAAAGGTTGCTGCAGAACAAAGTTGAGAGCTATCCAATTATTCTTGGTTAAAACAATCCCCCAGACAAGTTTTTGTTAGATTCAAGTAAAGGTTGCTACAAAATTGAAGTTTGGAGCATGATTATTGTGTCTAGTAAGTTTGTTGAATCAAGATCATTGAAGATCTTGAGCATTAGTAGTTGAGTATTTCGTTGTACCAAAATACATGTGCCATTACTTTTAAAAATTGTGTAAGATGTTACCATTTCTAATGATGAAAACCAATAAAGAGTGGAATAAGCATATCAAGTATAAATTTCCGAACCACTATATATTTAGCGTACGTTTTTCTTTCTCTATCTTTTTTAATTTTTTGCATATTATCTTGCATGTTATATATTGCTCACCTTTAGAATGTCATCTAGAATTATATCTTGTTTACAATATTTTATCATATAAGTTTAGGTATGTGATGCATCTAATTCTTTGAACATCCTTTACTTCACTTGAGATTGTGTCGATCCTAAATTGTTGGATTTAAATTGCTTGGTAAAGCATTTTCGTTTACCTCTGTTGTTTCTTATATTGATTGAATCATTCTTCTTATGAAGATAATGAAAAATATAATGTTTGAATCCATCCGTTGTATTTTTCTTCCACCTATCATATTTTGCTTTAGTGCTTTAAACTATGATTTTGTAAACGAAAATGTTTTTGAAAATGATATCAAGAGGATCGGTCTATTCACACCCCTTATGCTAGAAAGTTTTCATCCCCATATTCTTGCCCATAATAGAGAAGTGAAAATCTTGGACTATTCATGTTATAAATAAATTCATATTCTATTTCATTTTATCTTGCTATATATCTTAGTTGTGAATTAACATTTATTGTGTAATAAGTTACTTATAATCAACTGAATTGGTATGATCGCTTAAACTTTTATCTTTAGCTGAATTATCTTCATAATAAGTTTTCTATGTTCACGTGTTTGCTTCTTATATGTTGTTGCATGTTCATAATTTATAAGTTGCTGAATGATTTTTCGTCGTGCATTTAAAATATTTTTAAGTGCATCTTTTTAATTATGTGTATTTAGAATATTTTTTTGAACTGTTCATGTATTATTTAATCTTCCAGTTATGTATATCTTGATCATTTATAGTTTTGTTGTTGATTGGTTTCATGTCGTATTGTGTATATTTGTTTGATTTGACATGTGTTATATCTCATATATTTGTGGTATATTCTTATTTGATGCACATCTTTCTTATATATATATATATATATATATATATATATATATATATATATATATATATATATATATATATATATATATATATATATATATATATATATATATATATATATATATATATATATATATATATATATATATATATATATATATATATATATATATATATATATATATATGTTTAGCTTTGTTTTCTCTAGATAATTTTTTGTGTGTGTTGGCTACTTTATGTTTAGGTTCATTACCATATATCTCTTTTTGATCACGTCAAATGAGGATAAGTTGTAATGTGAGTCTATATTTAATTTATGAGTTTTATGCTATTTGTGGTATTGTGTAATATTTTAGGGAGAGCACAAGCAAAATGAGGAAAACACTAAGCACACTTTGCTTCTTCTTAACGTCAAAATTCCAATTACAAAAGTTGTAAGCTTGCCAAGTATCGTATCAAAAAAGGGGAGACTGAAGTTGCCACTACCTCTTAGGGTTTACCCATTTATATTTTGTTGTTTGTCAATTTACTTTTTGTTTTGTTTATTTGTTGTAATTGAGTATCCTCACATAGTTACACATTTTAGGGTTGAATATTTAATCATTTTTACACATGCAAAAATTGACCTATTTGATTAAGGTCAATGCATATGTTTATAGTTAAATAGTCAGAGGTTTGAATTAAGAAACACACATGAGAATGGTTTAAGTCGTGCCAAGTCTCGATTAAGAATAACACTTCATTTTGTTAAAATTTGAAAATATCAAAGTGCGATTTGAATCATAAGAATGAATGACTCGAATGAAACAAATTGTGAAAAATCAAGATTTTGCTTATGCGTGTTTGATTCAAATCACATGATTGTCTGACACGAATCATGCATGGTTATGAAAAACATAATTTTTCTTATGTGAGTTTGATTTGAATCATAGTAAAACATGTCTTGAATTAGAGAGTTATGATTCAAATCATGTAGATGCTAGACTTGAATCAAAATATGACAACAAATTTTAAATTTTGGTTATGTAATCCTGATTCGAATCACATATTTGATTGACTTGATTCACACAAATCAAATCATAAAAGATTGATTTGAATAACGGGAGCAACTTTCTTTAATCTTGAATCTTGAATCAAATAATAACTTTTGCTCTTAACTCGAATCAAATGGACAATTTCTCTCATTTTCACACCTTATCTCCATCACCATGAGTCCAAACGATTGTTTGAGGATAATAAGAAATACTGTACCATTTTTAAAATATAAATTGAATGTTATTTTTTATCATCATGAAATAAAACAAAATCCATATCAAATTAAATAAATCTAAAATATAATTTTTTTAAGCTTTACATATACCTGAATCGAGGTTCGAGTCCTAAATGATTCAATAGTTATTAATTGATAAGCTTATAATAATCATGGTTTGGTGAACCACCATAGTAATTAGTAACTATGTTTTTTAATCACCAAACCAAGTTAATATTTCAAAAATAGAATTTTTGTAAAAAGCAAAAAAGTTTATAATGGTAATAATAAGTAGGGTGTTAATTTTAATTCATACAACAAGAGAAAGTACATTGGGCCATACAGAAAGACAAAAAAAGTGACTAGGCCCGTAAACAAAGCCCAACAGAAACCCTAAAAACCCTCCTTTAATTGGAATCGAGAACTTTGAAGGCTTCTCCTCTCTACCTCTCTCTCTCTTCTCATCCAGCCGCTGTTCGAGGTGCGGCCAAATTCCTTCAGAATGGTACGTTTTTATCTCTTCTCTCCGTTCACCGTTTCTTTTCCGACGATTCTACGCTACTCCTTCACCATTATAGCTAACAACAACGTCCTTCAATTCTGTTTTCATGGGTTCAGGTTTTCGTCAAGTCTCAGAAATCAAAGGCCTACTTCAAGAGGTATCAAGTCAAGTTCAAGAGAAGAAGAGGTTTGTAATCATTTCAATTTTCTCTGTATTATTCGCTTCCTCGTTACTTGTCGTAGTTAACATCTTTAATTTTGAATTAATCAATCTGCAGAGGGTAAGACTGATTACAGAGCCAGGATTCGTTTGATTAACCAGGACAAGAACAAATATAACACTCCCAAATATCGTTTCGTTGTTCGATTTGTATCCTTTTTCATGATTTAGTAGTTAATTAATGGCTTAATGTTCTTACTAGCTAGTATTTGATTATCAGTTATAGTTTTCTGATCTTTTTTAGTGTAAAACCCTAACCTTAGTATTAGACCAACAAGGATATTGTTGCGCAAATTGTCTCTGCTAGCATTGCCGGTGATATTGTTCTTGCAGCAGCTTATGCACATGAGCTACCTCATTATGGTCTTGAAGTAGGTCTTACAAACTATGCTGCAGGTACCATCATTTCTGAATATTTCTTAATTGGTTGTTGTAATCTATTTTTTTTTCAAAGCCTTATTCATGTAATTAAATGGTTAATTTTTATATGTTACTAGCCTATTGCACTGGTCTCCTTTTGGCTCGCCGAGTTCTTAAAACTCTTGAAATGGATGAGGAATATGAAGGCAATGTCGAGGTATCAATGTGCAATTTACAATTTTTTTAAATTTATTTATTTTCAGGTAATTTAACTGAAGTTCATTATTTGATAGAACTTTCTGCGGTGTTTGCAATAGGGTTTGGTTGTTGTTTTTGTTGGATTGATCTGTCTCATTGTTTTATGAATCAATATTCACGGTTGTTTTTTGTATTGTATTCAAGATGGTATTTGATAGATCTTTCTGCATGCTGTTTAAAGATGTGTGATAGGGCTTGGTTTTTGTTTTTCTTGTATTCATCTGTCTCATTGTTATATATTAGTGATTGTTTGTTCTATAATATTCAGGCTTCTGGAGAAGATTATTCAGTCGAACCGGCTGATTCCAAGAGGCCTTTCCGTGCTCTCCTTGATGTTGGTTTGGTCAAGACCACAACCGGTAACCGGGTGTTTGGGGCACTTAAGGTATATAATCTTATCTTAAAGAATTAACAATGTGTGTATTCTTTTGACATTGATGGAGTTTAATAAATGTATTTTGATTGCCTGCAGGGAGCTTTGGATGGAGGTTTGGATATTCCTCACAGTGACAAAAGGTTTGCTGGTTTTGACAAGGAGAAAAAGGAACTTGATGCTGAGATTCACAGGAAGTATATCTTTGGTGGACATGTTACTGCCTATATGAAGGTATGTTAATATTCTTTTTGGTCCCTTTAAAGTTGAATTTGTAAGTAATTATTCATATTAACTTTGTAATATTCTTTTCTAGACATTGATTGAAGATGAGCCTGAAAAGTACCAAACTCACTTCAGTCAATATATCAAGAAAGGGATAGAAGCTGAAGGAATCGAGGAACTTTACAAGAAGGTTCATGCTGCTATTCGTGCAGACCCCTCAATCAAAAAGTCTGGAAAGCAGCCACCAAAGGAACACAAGAGGTATAATTTTTTTTTGATATTTGTGACGAATCTATCAATGAAGCAAATTCACTGAAAAAAAATTGTACTGAAAATTTGTTGATTTTCTTTTCTTCAGGTACAACCTGAAGAAGCTCACTTATGATGAGAGAAGGACAAAGTTGATTGCTCGCTTGGAGGCACTAAATTCTGCAGTGGATGAAGACGAGGACGACGATGAGTGAATTTGAGTTGGGAGTGGAATCAATTGTTAACTTGAATTTTCATTTTTATTTCCTTAAATTTTTTGTTGCTTGTACCTTTTATTTTAGATCAACATTTTTGGGTAATTTGGATTATCCTAGTATGACTTGTTTCAATTTACATGAATTGTTTCTGAAATATTTTCTTGCAGTTGAATCAACTTAAGTTATCATATGCTTTTGGTGTTATGAACTTTGTTAGTGCTGAAAATGATATAAGATCAATAAAAAGAAATGGTCTGAATATCTTAGTTTCTATACATCAATTTTGAATTTTTATTTTGGTTCACTAGATTTGTTTTTTATTTTGGTTCACTAGATTTGTAATTCCAACATAAATATATTTGCACTTCCTTTTATGTTAAAAGGAACTTTCAGTCTTTTAATTATAATAATAATTATTTTTGTTGTAAATTCCTGTCAAGAATCTTAATGTTGATAGTGGCAAGGGTGGGAAATGATAAGGTGGTGTTAGACTTTGTCAAGTCTGGTCTGACATATTAAAAAATTCAAAGATTGGTTTGTAGTCAGTTACATGTTTATTTTTAGGCATGAGTTAGGTTGTTTTGAAGGATTGATTGAACTTTTAGGTTTGAATTTGGTTGTTTTAAAGGTTTGATTGACTTTTTAGTTTGGTTGTTTTGAAGGTTTGATTGACAATATACTTTAAAGTCTATTTTATTTTTTATTTAACATTAGTAGAAGATCCATTCAACCGCATGGATAAGAGTATTTTAATTATTGATCATTTGAAAAATATTAATGATTTTAATTATTGATCATTTGGAAAATATTAATGAAACATCTTTAAGTTTATCAACAACAAATGTATGAATTAATAAAATATCAAGAAATATCATGTAAACGATATTTTTATGTAACTTATTGCTAATATGTTATTTATATTAACACAAAAAATAGAAATCATAAATTCCATTATATATCATGCTTTGACAAACACATGACCATGCATGCAGTGTTGATATACATGTATAACTGCAATAGAAAAGATTATCTCTGGCCAATAAAATTTCAGTGGCAATTAACATGTAGTTAAAGTATAAAGATTCTTTTAATGTCATAAGTAATATAATGTCAAATTTAAAATTTCAAAATGCACTTAATGACATTTACATAGCCATGGATATTCATATGGTAGAATAATATAGCTATTACAAATGAATTTTGATGATAACAAATGAGTATATTTGTATGAATAATTTTGATACTCTAATGTTTGTTATTGTTGAATATTTAACAAATATATTCTGCTTTTGATGGATGATGTGACCAAAATATTAGAAGAGAATTGATTTCGCTTCTACGTTACACATGTTTTGTTGAACAGTAACAAGACACTCTAGAAGGCTCTGAAGTGTAAGTTCTGATATTTTTTTAAAGAAAATAGTCAGAAGATCTGAAGACAGAAGTTGTTACTTACGTCCAGATACTGAAGACTCAAGCTTCTAAAGACAACGTGTTCTAAGGAAACAATCAGAAGATTTGAAGACAAAAGTCGTCACTTAAGTCCAGATGCTGAAGACTCACGTTTCTAAAAGACAATGTGTTTTAAAGAAACAAAGTTAGAAGATCTGAAGACAATTTCTACTGAAATCCAGATGCTAAAAATTTAGTTTCTAAAAGGCAACTTGTTTCAAAAAAGACAAAGTTAAAAGATCTGAAGACAACATTTCTAACAGAAGTCCAGATGATGTAGACTTTGTCTTTCTAATAACAAGATTTTAAAGACAAGGATTCTTAAATAACTAAGTACTAAAGATTCTAAAGACGCAGTTCTTAAGACTCTGAAGACTTGAAGCTCTTCTGATCAAAAGGTTCGCTACAACAGATTCTCACGACCAAGTGCTGAAGACTTTGAAGAATCAGTTCTGAAGACTACGAAGACTTGAAGTTCTGAAGACCTTATGTTATATTCCCGCTTCTAACCTCATGCTCACGGAAGCCTCTGAAATGCAGAAGGAAAGAATATAACGGTAACATGGTACAATAGTACACAGTACGAAAAAGTTTTATGCCACTACCTCTCAATTAACTTAAAGTTTGGAAGAGATAAGGAAGTAGCAGGACTATTTGTAACGACTCTTTTTCAAATAGCCAACGACTCTATTTTGCTTGACTATATAAGAAAAGAATCATATATTTGCAAGTCGCAAGTTGTTGTTGTTCAATGTTAAAAAGGAAAGTTGTCATTATCAAAGCACAACCAAAAATCTATCACCCACTTATAACAATAACAAGAATTCTACAAGATATTATTCAAATAACCAATCATATACATCTTGGAAGAATTATGAAAAGCAATGAGTTGTTGCTCATATCTTGCTTAATGAAGAAAGAAGATGAATATGAAGAATTATACAAGATGTCATTCAAACTATAAATCACATACATATTGACAGAATTATGAAGAAGCAAGGAGTTGTTACTCATAGCTTGCTCAACAAAGAAGATGAAGACAAGAAGACTGCAAGATGCTGCACTTAACTTAGATTATATTCATCTTTGTAGGAAAATGTAAAACACAAGAGTTGTTGCTCATATTGTGTTATTGCTTAAGATCTTCATGTAAATTGTTTGTACACAAGAGTTGTTACTCACAATTGTGTCAAACTATATGTACTTAAATTATGAGTAATCTGCTTGATAAGAAGCACTCATGTAATCTCTAGAAAAATAATTTTATTTAGAATTGGTTGGTTCATCAAGTGATAGAGTGAAGATCAAAAGACTTGAGAAGACTTTGGCTGCGGCCATTGTAGATGAAATCCTGGTCGTGGGTTCTATTGGGTCAATGATAGTCACATCTCAAAGGGGACTGAGTGAAGGTCAACCTTTTGAGATCACTGATGGATATCATTGGAAGGAAATCCTGGTAAGAGATTCTGGTGAATCGGATTCTATTGGACTAACGAATGTTATATTCATTCTGGATCCCTGAACACGTCATTAGATATTAGTCACCGGAGGTTTGCCCGTGCAATTGTAATCAGATTGATTATAGTGGATTAAGTCCTCGACTTCAAGGCCAAATCACCTCAGAAGGATGGATTGGACTAGCTTGGAGTTTCTCAAGTGAACCAGGATATAGCGCGTGTTGTTTACTTTTGCTAATGCTTTAGAGTTTATGTTTTCTTAACTTAATTAGAAGCATTACTTAGAAGTAACACTCATAAGCATTGTTCAAAGAATGCCTAGAAGCAAAAGTTATTCAAGAAAAGAAAACTCAATTTAAATCCCCCTTTCTTGCATTTTCTTCGCACCTTCAGTGTGGTCGGAAGCTAGCGGTTATGTATATTGGAAGTACATAGTAACTCAAATGCATGGTATAAGCTTATGGGGGCATATTGGAGAAACAAGTTAAAAAATAAGCACTTCTGGAAAGCAGAATCTGGTTTTATCGGGTTGGTAACCGATTACATGAAATGGCATAACTGGTTACAAAAGGTGTTTTTCCAGTTTATGTTTCAGTTGACCGTAGGCGTAACCAGTTATAACATTTTGCGTAACTGGTCACGAATCCGTGGTTTTGGGTTTTTTAGCTTATTTTTAAGTTGTTTTGTTTCCCAATTGTTTTATATTACCTTATATAAATATCCTCATATGTTGTAATGTTTTGTTAAAATGAATTAATGCCAAATTGTATCCTTAACCTTAATTACTCTCTCTCACTCTCTCTCTCTCTCTCTCTCTCTCTCTCTCTCTCTCTCTCTCTCTCTCTCTCTCTCTCTCTCTCTCTCTCTCTCTCTCTCTCTCTCTCTCTCTCTCTCTCTCACTCTCTCTCTCTCTCTCTCTCTCTCTCTCTCTTATTTTTCTCTTATCTTTTCATTCCATCTTCTCCAATTAACACAAATTCTCCATTGATTCACCACAAGAGCTTGTGTATGTTCCAACATTTGGCATCAAGAGCCTTGGTTCTGATCCATAATCCGCTGCAAAGATGAATATTTTTTCCAATGATAGAGTTCCATAAACCTATTGATTCTTGTGACTATTATTTAAAATAAATAAAGGTTTTGTTTGGGGTATCAAGATGTTCTTAAGGTGATCAAGAATGGAGTTATTCCACTTGGAGCAGAAGCTACATATGCTCAAAAGGCTACATCCAAGGAAGAGAAATAAGAAGGATTACAAGGCACTCTTCTTGATTCATTCTTGTGTCGATGGTAACAACTTTGAAAAAGTTGGCGACTGCGATTCGACAAAGCAAGCTTGGGAAATCTTAGAAAAAGCTTATGCAAGGGCTGATAGCAAAGGTGATGAGGTTACAAAATCATAAGAGGCATTTTGAGTTGATTCAAATGGAAGAGAATGAGACGATAAATGATTAAGTAACGTAAATTACGTGTGTGGTGAACCAAATTAAGTTTTATGGAGAAACTGTTTCGGAGTAGAATGTTGTGTCAAAGATCTTGCGTTCCTTAACGTCAAGATTCAACGATATTGTAGTGGGAATTGAAGAATTGAAGGACCCTTTAAACATTTAAGCAAATATGAGCTTCAAATTTCCCTTGAGGCTCATGAACAAAGGATGGATGAAAGGGAAAATGAAAAGGCTAAAGCGGAGATTGCATTGTAAGCACGGTTCAATGAGAAGAGTAAAAGATCAAAAGGAAAGACAAATTTTCAGAATTTTGGTGCAAAAGATTCACAAAATTTGAAGTTTTCGATGGGGAAAAAGGGTGAGAGCAGCTCCAAAGGTATTGTTCAAGGAAAATACACCAAGAAGATTGACAAGAGTAATGTGAAGTGTTACAAGTGTCATAGACTTGGTCCTTTCATAAGATATTGCAATACGAAATCAAGAGAAAATAAAAGCAATGAGGCTAAGGTTGTGAGACAGGAGGTGGATGATGAAAACACACTTCTGGTTATGATCACAGAGGAGAATTATGGAAGTAATAAACTATTGGACAACACCAATAGCAGCTGCAAGTTGTTGGACAACAACTGCAAACAGTTTA